TTCTTTTCAGTTGGTGATCCTGTTTAAAAATTACTACGGGCGGTTTTAGTCTTCGCATCGGAAATATAACTTTTAAATTAATTTTAGAATTATATACAAAAAAATGTATAGTAATAATGTGTTTTATCATAGCCCTCTCTGGAGATGTAAAATATCTATACATCCGTATCCGAGAGAACGTAATGGCGCCTATTTCCGAGGCATTTCCGATGCACAACCGACAACGTTCTCAGCAAAGATATATCATCATTCAGCGATTGGCTGCAACTTGTGGTTTTAATTACAGTTTAAAATTAATAATATTATTTTAATACAGATAGCACGTATGCGAATCCTCGAAACGTTGCGCGTCTACGTCCGATTCAACTAAAGTCAAACTCTTGGAGTTTGAGTAAAATTAAGTTTTAATCACCGGAACGCATGATAATATTCATGAGCTACAGGGAAAACAGATGGATTTAAGATACGATCGTCTAAATAAAATATACTACATTCGTTACTCCTTGATTATTAATAATATATTATATCATAATGCTCAAGTGATAAGAAATAGTGTATCTCTAAAACACATTATATACGTTCACATTATTATATATTATATACATTGTAACGAGACAGAACCGTCCATATCATGATATTCATGAACGACGCGCTACCCGTCGACAAAGTAAGAACTAAAATGTAGTATTCTGTTCAAAACTGCATGCCTGAAAAACGCACTAGATGTCGCGGTACGCGCAGTCCTTTTAGTACGGTGCGTACCAGCGACATTTAAACCTTTAAAACTACTAACTAACACCAATGTAAGTAGTATAACATGTACCGTCACATGGTAGGAGTCGAGCACAGCCCGAACGATACCATAAAAATCAAAACCTACCGACAAATACCACCATGAGGTTGTATGAGTAAGTCAACAATATACCATGCAGCAGTCACCAGGGTATGTAGTAAATAGACCCCGGTGAAGTCACCAAAAACAACAGTCATCCGTCCGACCGCATACGCTTTTCGTATTGTGTCTGGAGCTCATCTCGAGTTCAAACAGCATTATACCGCCGCCGTCTACCCGTCGTTGTGTCTGGTGCCCACCTTGGGTACAAACAGCGCAAACGGGTATCGAGTTTCGCTTCGCCTTTACAACACTATAGTCCGCCGTTGTCCCGTCCGTCATAGTGTACCGTTAAAACTCTCTTCTGTATCTGGGGCCTCTTCAGGTCCAAACAGCATACAGAATAGACTCGTCGTTAGTTTCCCCCCCGTAAATCGCCGTTACCGTCGTGGACGCCGAGCCATCGCCGCCGCCGCCCGACCTAGTATCCGCACACCCACACTTGTACCTGGGGCCTAAATTAATAGGTCCACACAGTGCAACTGTGAGTACCCCCCCGTAAATCGCCGTTACCGTCGTGGACGCCGAGCCATCGCCGCCGCCGCCCGACCTAGTATCCACACACCCACACAGTACAATTACAAATATTAAGATACCGCCGTTATACGAGACCGTCGCCGCCAAAACGTTGCCGTCCGTATTGAATACCGCTGTATCAGATTAACGATCATTATATAATATTACGCACCGTCGTAAGTAGGTACCAACACGAAATCGCAGCATTAAATAACGTGGCCGCCGCACACCTATTTGGATACCCGCATAAGTGTCACCGCTGTCGAAACGCCGCCGATACACAGTTCACCATCGTCAATAGTACCTACAGACTCGTCGCCGTGAACAGACCGGACACCGTATATTGCAACCAGCCAACTACTATCACATTAAGTAACATTCAAACAAACCGTGAGTCCGAATATAATAAAATTATAGAAACATTATTCCTTGTTACATGTATTTTTAAATGTACATCGTGTTAAACGATTTGAATAAAAAAACAAAAAGAAAATATTGTACAAATAAATAACACAATATATTTCAATAAACTGTTAATAATTTGTTGAACCACAAAACCTTGTATCAGCGTTCAATCATTTTTATTACAACATATATATAATTTATGTCGTATAATGCATAATATTTAATATTCGAATAACTATAAATATAAACTTAACATTTACAAACTGATAAAACTAATTGTTAATGTTATAGAATTGTAATTTTATCAGATAACTGCAATTGTGTTCAATTTTTAAATTAAAATAAGATTATAAACGTTGAAGATATTTAAATTATTTTTATTCTTTTAAGATATAGGTTTATTCTTTGTTAATTAAAAACTCTATTACAGAATTCATTTGCACTGTAGTCTATAAATGATTTTTAATAATTAGAGCATTAGACCTTAGCATGCGCCAAATAAACATGGTGATTGTTTTAAAGATTAACATTAAGATTCTTCAAAATTATTAAAAAAACATTTTACTATTTTTTATCATTAAGTGTTTTATTTTTTGATGACATCATGCATTTTTTATTTCATACTCCAAAGCCCGATATTTTTATGAGAATTTAAACAATTTTTTTTTTAAACGTTCATTTGGAATGAATTAAAAATAATAGATACCTATGTTAGAATATTGTAATACAAAATAATAAAAATATTTATCTATATTTATAATAATAATAGCCAACCCGCCACAGCTTCGCAAGTGGTTGGTCGTTTATTTTGCTTCCGGAAGATGAGATGTATAATTTTTTATTCAAATTTTATCGTTTAATGTGATCGGCAAGCAAATATAAAAATTGTTAATGAAAACGTATTGAAAATTGAAATGTCTCTAGCACTATTAATGGTATACATATTTTTATTAAAAATAGCTGATCCCGTGCACTTCGTTGCTCGTTATATATATAAACTCTATATGACTCAAACTTTGTTCAATTTGTTATTTAATATTCGGTGTATGGTGTTTAAAACTTATCTTAACTTTTCCGTTGCCCAGAATAAAAATTCTGCTTCGCAGCAGTATATTATCAGGTAGGCAATCTACTTGCGGTAGATCGCTGACCCTGTGCTGTTTGCACGTAAGTGTATGA